GGAGGAGGAGGAGGCGGAGGAGGAGGAGGAGGAGGAGGATATTGAAACCTGGGCCTCCGATATGCCAGGCAGACACTCATTAAGCCACATCCCCAGCACAGCAACACTGACCTGATTCCTAGGTTTTTTACCTTGTCAGGTCAGGAAGGGGGAGCATGGGGAGGTAGAGTCTAAGTGCTTTGTTACCATTGGCCTTTCCTCACAACCTGCCTTCTGGCTGTAGCTTATCGTGGTGAAACAGGAAGACAAGTTGGAGATGCTGTTCAAGCACTTCCTGGTGGAAGACAAGAGCCTAAGTGGAGGTGCATCCTATGTGGACTTTCTGTGTCATATGCACAAGGAGATTCGGCAGCTACTGAGCTAAAGCAAGTGGGTAAATGGTATAGGGTCCCAGGCCAGCTTCCAGAAAGTACCCCAGGATGGCAGAGAAAATTGGGACAGTTCCCTATTTTATGAGTCATGTAAGCTGACCTCAGTCTCTTTAGGGGGGAGGGCAAGATATAAGGAGACACCTTCTTTCTGGGCTCAAATATCCTACCACTCTGTCATGTCCTGCTGATGGAAGGTGCCCTGGTCCCTTCCTCTACCCTCTCTCCTGCTAATCCTGTTGTAATGAATGTAGTTTATCAGTTCACTGTATATGATCCGGTGTTGGGGGTTTGGAGGCAGCGAGACTCTGGGCGTCCCTTTGGACCAGCCTCCAAGAGGAAGGGGGCAGGCAAGGAGTGGGAATCCCAGGACTATTACAGGAGGTGGCAAATTCAGCTCCGTGTCATCAACAACTTCCTATATTAGGGATAAAATATACAGGTGCACAAGAGCTGGGGTACAGACTGTAAGTGGTAGAGAGTAAAGTAGTTGGTCCTTTGGGGGCCTGGTGGTTACTGAGGATGGATGACTAGTCTCTCTACTTCCATTGTGCGTGCTCTCTCCCCCTGCTATGATTGGTGAGCACTTCGTGGACAGAAGCACATAGCTAGAGATGAATGAACCTGGGGACTGAATGCAAAGCATTAACACCTTGGGGAGGTAGCAGCTTCCTTTCCAGCCGGAGAAGCCCCAATACTGAATGGTTCTGTAGAGAGCCTGATGGTCAACTTGCAATACCTCACAGAGTCAGCCCACATCCCACTCAGCTCCCACCAGAAATACAGCTTAAGCCGGGCGTTGCTGGGGAGAGGCAGAGATAGCTGGAGCCCTCCCTGTCTTCCTGTGCCAGGACTTTCCCGGGCTTTGGTCTTGACTGAGTGGCTGACCGTTATCTTTCAACTCCAATTGGCTGGGGCAGGACAAGGGCTAGGATTGATGGTGGTCAGGCTTGCCTGCTCCCAGCCCGGGATGCCCCTGCTCTGGACTTTTCATTTCTCTTCATTGGTTTATTTTTCAATGCATCTTTAATTTGTAAAGAAATAAAATAAGATGTAACCAGTGTCCTTTTTACTACTTGCGACCTCTCCCAGCCCGTCTGCGGCTAAGAGGAGCCGCGCATGCGCCGCGTGCCCCAGTGGCGTAGGACCTGGTCCGCTCTCCACTCGCTGCAGGGTGGGGTTTCTTCCTGTCCGAGTGGGTCGGCTGTGGACATGGCTGCTCGCTGCACCGAAACGGTGCTGGCCGCTCTGGGGCTGCTCAGTGTATGTGCGGCCAGCAGCTCCGGGTCCGGGACTTCGGGAAAGGCGGGCGGGGAGGCAGAATGGGCGGAGCCGTGGGACGGCGCGGTTTTCCGGCCGCCAGCTGCGTTAGGCGCAGTGGGGGTGGCGCGCGGGCTAGAGTCCCTGCCGCCGGGGAGCAGGGATACGGTGGACCTACCGGTGCTGCTGTGGTGGAGCCCAGGCCTGTTTCCACACTTCCCGGGAGACTCGGAGCGCATAGAATGCACTCGGGGTGCGTGCGTGGCGTCCCGGGACCGGCGGGCGCGCGCCGACCCGCGGACGCGCGCACTGCTCTTCTATGGCACGGACTTCCGTGCAGCCGACGCCCCCCTGCCGCGCCTGGCGCACCAGAGCTGGGCGCTCCTGCACGAGGAGTCGCCGCTCAACAACTTCCTGCTAAGCCACGGCCCCGGCATCCGCCTCTTCAACCTCACAGCCACCTTCAGCCGCCACTCGGACTACCCACTGCCGCTGCAGTGGCTGCCCGGGGTCGCCTATTTGCGCCGGCCTGCGCCTCCGCTCCGGGAACGCGCCGAGTGGCGTCGTCGCGGGTACGCGCCGTTGCTCTACTTGCAGTCCCACTGCGATGTGCCCGGGGACCGAGACCGCTACGTACGCGAGCTCATGCGCTACATCCCGGTGGGTGAGAGAGCGGCGTGGCGGGGAGGGGATGGGCCGGGCGAACACCGCAACCCTGCTGACCGCCGTACTCTGCCTCGCTTAGGTGGATTCCTATGGCAAGTGCCTTCAGAACCGCCAGCTGCCCACCATGCGGTTACAGGACACAGCCACGGCCACCACCGAGGATCCAGAACTCTTGACCTTTCTGTCTCGCTATAAGTTCCACTTGGCCCTGGAAAATGCCATCTGCAATGATTACATGACAGAAAAACTGTGGCGCCCCATGCATCTGGGTGCTGTGCCTGTGTATCGTGGCTCACCCTCTGTGAGGGACTGGATGCCCAATAACCACTCCATCATCCTAATTGATGACTTTGAGTCCCCTCAAAAGCTGGCAGAGTTTATTGACTTTCTGGACAAGAATGATGAAGAGTATATGAAATACCTGGCGTACAAGCGACCAGGGGGCATCACTAACCAGTTTCTTCTGGATAGCCTGGAGCATAGGGAGTGGGGAGTGAATGACCCCAGGCTGCCTAACTACCTCAATGGCTTTGAGTGTTTCGTCTGTGACCATGAACTGGCTCGGCTAGAAGCCGAGAAAGCACATGCATCCTCTCCTGGGGACATTCCTGTCCCCAAGCCTCACATTGCCCAACCCTCACACATGAACTGTCCAATGCCTACCCCTGGCTTTGGCAAAGTGGAAGAGATTCCTGAGAATGACAGGTAGGGTTGCTGGGATGCCCTGCAGCTGTGACTTCAGACTACTTGCTTTCTCAGTGTGTAGGGACTGGAGAAGACAGTGCAGACTCACTTTGCTGTAAGATGTCAGCAGTAGTGGGGGAGCTGGGTGTGGTGGATACGCCTGTAATCCCAGTGCTGTGTGGGGAGGTGATGGAGAACCTGGGACCGGGCTATGAACAGCCTGATTGCCAACCTGAGGATCATCACCTCAACCGGGTGCCTTTGGTGCGGGGTGGGGAATACAAAGATGGATTTTTGGCTGTGCCCGAGATTAAGCCCAGGGCCTTCAGAGAGTACTTTTCCACCCAGTCACACCTCAGCCCAGTAAAGGACTACCCCCCCCCCCCCCAGTAATCAACCCAACATACTAGAGTCACTCTGTAACCTGGACCGATCTCAAACTTGTGATTCTCCTGTGTCGGCCTCCCAAGTGCTGAGATTATGGAGTGAGCCACCATACCATGAAAAGCACTTAGACCTTCTTTATATGTGATGAAGTCAGGGCCTTGAGTATGCTAAGCAAGCCCTCTACCGTTGATCGACATCCCCAGCTCGCCCTTCTCTATGTCGATTTGGATCATATCCTGATTTGTTTACTCTAGACAGAATTGAAGGAATGCTTCCAATAGACGGATGATTAACATTGGCCGTCAGTGTGGGGCAAAGTGAGTAGGAAGCATTGGGAAGCTGTTGAAGCCACCTGCAGGCCAGCACAGTCAATCTGGAGAGGGGTTACTAGAGTGGCTCACAGGAAAAGATGTTCAACAGTGGACGGCAGCAGAGGGCTGCCTTCATGCCACTGGTACAGTCGGGGCCTCATGGCAGAAGCTGTCCCCAAGAATCTTAGCAGTTTATGCTGAAATCATGATTTACCTGAAGAAAAAACATTAAGGAAATAGCCAGGGGTGGTAGTGCATACTTGTAATTCTAATGCCAAAGAGACAGAGGCAGGAGGATTGGGAATTAAAGGTCATAGGTGGCCATGTGCAGTGAGTTTGAGTGATCCTGGGCTATTTGAGACCACCGTTCCCCTGACAAAACTAAATTTAGATTGTGCCTTTCTACACACTAGATCTCATTGCATCTTCATTTGGGTTTTTAAGTAACAGTGAAGGTTAAAATCCTCTAGAGGCCCCTCACTGCTCCCTTGCTTTCCTCTAGAATACTACTTACATGCTCTGAACCCTCCTGAGACCTTTGTACTCCCTCCGCATTTGGGAGCTAGAGGCACGTGAGCAATGTTAGCTTCTTGGGTGGACTATGATGTCTTTATGTTTATGACCTACTTTCTGTCTCTTGGGCTAGTGTTAGTTTTACTCCCTCTCCTTTCCTTCACAGCCGAGCCTGGTCCAGCATAAATTTGTTTTTTGAGACAGGGTTTCTCTATGTAGTCCTGACTGTCCTGGAACTCTCTGTACACCAAGATGGCCTTGAACTCACAGAGATCCCCCTGCCTCTGCCTCCTAAGTGCTGGGATGAAAGGTGTGTGTTATCACCACCCAGCCCTGCAACCACTCAAGGGCAGAGCCTATTGCACTGTGGTTCCCCGATTCACTGTGCCCCCCTGTTTTGTCGTTTCAGCTGGAAGGAAATGTGGCTACAAGATTATTGGCAAGGTCTCTATCAGGGGGAAGCACTCACTGCCATGATCCACAACAATGAAACAGAGCAGAGCAAGTTTTGGGATTATGTACATCAGATCTTCATGAAAAGGAATAAAAATCGCTAACTGCCCCTGCAAGAGCCTTTAGCTTGGAAGACATCTGGAAACAGTTTTACCATGGCACCTAATCACATCCACTGCAGCCTTGAGTGAATATTGTCTACCTTGATGCATTCATTGATTCTCCTGCCCTGTACTGGGGATGGAACCTGAGGTTTGAGAATGCTGGGCAAGTGCCCTTCACCTCTCCACTGTACCTGAATGGTATGGAGCCAGTGTCTCAGCCTCTGGTAACAGAGCTTCTCCTGAAGGAGAGGCAGAAGCCAGAAGCACCCATTTGGCTCAAGGATGTCTGTAGCCATTTCATCATTTCAGCTGTGGACAGGATGGGTCAGGCTGTGATCTAAGACGTCTGTCATTTAGTGCCCTGTCAGTAGTGTCTGCTCCTCATTGAGCTTCTCTTATCAGCTGTCACACTGGTGGAGAAGCAAGGGGGGGGGGTGGCTATTCTGTTTTTCTGCTTTTTTTTTCCTTTTGAGATAGGTCTCACTATGTGGCCCAAGCTAGCTGCCAACTCCTGGGCCTAAGTGACAATGCCAGCCTCAGCCTCTTCAGTAGCTGGGGCTGTAGGTATACAACACTATGCCCAGCTCTTCAAGTTACTTTAAGAAATATTTGCACTGTCTTTAGAATCAAAAAAAAATTTTTTTTTTTTTACATTTTAAGTGGCTCTTTCTTTCTGGCTTAAGGCTATTTCCCACAAACACGGGGAAGACTGACGGACATTTCCATCATTCTTACTGCTTGGTTTTCTTGTTTAGGGAATATTTGGAATTCCTTCTCTCATGAACAGATTAAGTAGCTGTTCTAATAAGACACTAATGTCAGTTCAATATATTGCCCTGTCAGAGGGTTGGAAAGACCCATTCAATCCATTACTCACATTCTTCCAGATAACTTTATGGTGCCGAGTCTCTGTTTTTTGTGGTTCTGGGGAAGCAAGCACTCTACCAACTGAGTTATAGCTGCCACCCTAGTACTGAGATTTTTTTCTTTCATGAAGCCAGCCCACGGCCCCCAATTCAAAGAGATTGAAGAAGGCAATGAATTTAAGCCACCGTAAGTGGCTAGATAAATAAAAACTTTAGATTTGGGGCTGGAGAGCACTGGCTGCTCTTCTAGAGGGTCCAACTTTGATTCCTAGCACACACATAGCAGCTCACAACTGTCTGAAACTTCAGTTCCAGGGGGATTCGATCTCTCTTCTGGCCTTTATGGGCACCAGGCACGAATATGCTACACAGACATTCATGCAGGCAAAACACCCACATATATCCACAGCAACAAAAACTTTAGATTTGGAGACACAGATCAGCTGTCTCCTGCTGTAGCTTGACCAGGAGACAGATGTTTTCTGGAGTACTAAGAAAGAATGCCTAGGACCTCAGAGCTATGCTTATTGTGTTAGTGAATTATCACTAAAGAAATCTCATGACTTATCGGTATCTGTAAACTATAGATATCTGTGAATCCATATCTATCCTGATAGATACGTACGCATGTCAGATGCTTCAGCAACCAGGCTGCATAATTAATAATTGTGATATCTAAGGCGGTGACCAAGAAAAGCTTTAACACAGGTTGGAATTACATTTCTAAAGTTTTTTTTTCTTCGTTGTGTGTGTGTTGCTGAGATGGATCCCAAGGCCCTGTGCATGCTAAGCATGTGCCCTGGCTCTATCTCTGAGTTATATTCCCAGACCTTTATTTTATTTAGTTAAAAATGCTTTCATAGTAGCATGAAAATTATTTAACCCATTTGGTCTCTTACAGAGAACAAGAGAGAAAGATGTTTTAAAAAGTGTATCAGAGATAGGTGGGTCCAGGAGTGCTAGGCAAGCCTGGGCTACAATAGCAAGACTGTGTCTCAAACAACAATAACAACAGCAAAAAACTTTCATAGTATAGATGGGCATGGTTGCACACACTTTAGTTTTAGCATTCTAGTATTTTGGGAGGCAAAAGCAAGTGAATCTCTGTGAGTTTGAGACTAGGTCTATTTAGTGTTCCAGGCCAGTCAGAGCTATATAGTGAGACCCTGTCTCAATAGATGGATGGATAGATGGATGGATGATAGATGCTGATTCCTACAGCAAAGTAACTATTATACAAGTGCAAATCTAGATTAGAACTCAGATGTCCTACGAGCAACAAGAAAGGTAAGTGATGGTCATGCAAAATGCCGGCTCCTGTCCAAGCTACCGGTAACTCACATGAACACTCCTGTGCACAAAATGATCCATTTGGTCATAAATGGTTGTTGCTGGACAACCAGACTTGCGTTTTGCTTGGTGCTTCCCAGCCTCTTTATCCCTGCCATTATGTAAATAATCATAAAAGCCCAGGGCAAATCAGGTGCTACATTTCCAAGAGGGGAAGAACTGTGAGTAACCACATAGTACTTACTAAGGAAAAAGCTTTACTTTCCATGTGAAGAAAACAATTTTTTTTTTCTGGCTTGGGGCTCAGCTATACTGTCTACAGCACCTACTATTTGCTGCAGGTCCTGGGCACTAGTGGTAGAAGTTTAAGGAGAATACGGGGTAGTACACAAGGCTGATGGTGAGGGTTACTATCTATCTATTATCCTCTCAGGTTTCATCTTATATAATAAACTGCTTTCTACATAGTGTCCTTGCCTGATTACTTTTTTTTTTCATTACATTTATTATGTGGATGTGTGTGGTAGCTTGTTCTTCCCTGTACATGTGTATGCCAGAAGACAATTTGCAAGAGTCAGTTTTCTTTCCACCATGTGGTCCCAGGGACTGAACGCATATCATCAGGCTTAGTGGCAGCACCTTTATTCACCCACTGAGCTATTTTGCTGGCCTCTGTTTGCTTACTTTTGGGGGTAGGGGATGGTAAAAAAAAGGTAAACATTTATTCATTTAACATTTTTTCGTTTCATTCTTTCATTTTTCTCCTTTTCTTTTTTTTTTTTTTTTTTTTTTTTTTTGAGGCAGGGTCATGTTATGTGGCCCTGACTTTCCTGGTATTTATATAATGTAGGCTGGCTTCAAACTCATGATCTGCCTCCTGCCTCAGCTTCCCAAGTGCTCGGATTACAGGCATATGCCACATTTGGCATAATAGCTATTTTAGACACTGGGGATTCAGCAATGAACAAGATACACAAAAGCTCCTCTCATTTTAAATAATTTTGGGGGGGGGGGTTTCGAGACAGGGTTTCTCTCTGTACATTTGGTGCCTGTCCTGGATCTTGCTCTGTAGACCAGGTTGGCCTCAAACTCAATAGAGATCCGCCTGGTTCTGCCTCCTGAGTGCTGGGATTAAAGGCGTGCACCACCCGCCACCTGGCTTAAATAAAAAAATTTAAAGATTTAAAAAAAAAAATTGTTTGTTTTTGGGGACAGGGTTTCTCTGTGTAGCTTTGGTGCCTGTCCTGGAACTCACTGTGTAGTCCAGGCTGGCTTCGAACTCACATGTGTTGCCCATGGAGGCCAGAAGAGGGCATCCCCTGGACATCAGATGGTGGTGGTGAGCCTTGCGAAGTGGATGCTGGGAACCAAACTCTTGAGTGCTCTATAAGAGCCGGAAGCACTCTTAACCTTGGAACTATGTTGGGGTAAACAAGGTCACAATAAATTCAGACTGTGATGGTAGAGCGTGGGGAGAGGGAAATCGCTGACGTGAACTGAGCCTCGGAAGAAAAGCCATCTGTGTAGGTTATCCAGTGAGCATTCCGAACACCGTGGTAAACAATTTCAGTACGAGTGTAACCATACAGGCACATCTTGCAATAAAATAGACATCATATAAACTACATGATTGTTGGGTTCCACTTCCATTAGCAGAAATGTCTTGGGAGTTCATTTTGGGGATCTTTGGCACATCTTTGGACTCGGTTTTGTAAACATCTAGGAGTCAAACACTTAAGTCTGACAAATCAACCACAACTGTAGGACTTGGTAGGTCCAAGTCCATAAATAGGAACGATAAAAGTAAATGTAAGAATGTTAAATGTTACAGATAATGCTACCCATAAATGTTAGAACCCTCGCCCTGTGGTGCGGCCGTTTCAAACGAGTCAACAGCATCTACACAGCAGTTAGTTGTTAGTTACAATGAGTAAAACCAACTCCAGGGGACCGACGCCTTCCCTTGGCCTCCGGTGACGCAGCACCCCCGTGGCACCCACACACACACTGACACGCACACGCGCGCGCGCACACACACACATACACACACACACACACACGCAAGGGGCAGCCTCCGACCCGGAGCCCCAGCGTCCTGCCTGCTCCCGGAGCCCGCAAAGGGACGGCCCGGGGCGGCGCACAACCTAGCATTCCTAACGTGGGCCCCGACAGGGTTCGAACCGAGGGCTGTGAGGCCAAGGAAAGTGCGCGCCCCGCTCTCCCTGGGCCGCACGCCAAGTGCGTAAGGGTCAAGAGGGGTCACGCACAGCGCCGCGGAGCCTGCTGGGAACGCTGGGCAAAATGGCGACTCCCAGCTTGCGCGGCCGCCTGGCGCGGTTTGCGAACCCGGCGAAGCCTGTCCTGAAACCCAACAAGCCTCTGATCCTAGCTAACCGCGTCGGGAACAGACGCCGAGAGAAGGGCGGTGAGCGCTCGGAGCGGGGGGCGGCTGGGTAGGCGCGCGGGAGGGGTGTAAGGTCGGCCCGTGGCTGAAGGTCCCCCAGTTCTTCCCTTCCAGAGGCGACCTGTATCACGGAGATGTCCATGATGATGGCTTGTTGGAAGCAGAATGAATTCCGCGACGAGGCGTGCAGAAAAGAGATCCAGGACTTCTTCGATTGTTCTTCCAGGGCTCAGGTGACAGCTGGCTCCTAGGGGTGCCTCCTTGGGAAGAGCAAGGGAAACAAGTGAACGGTTGGCACTGCCTTGTGCTAAGTTACGGAAAGAGCCTCTGATTCATCTCACCCTTGCCGGAGTGAGAAAAGCTTTCCTTAAACTCACCTGATAGCCAGAATAGCAGCCTCAGGTGACACAGTCATTTGTAGATCCCAACTCCCTTTAAATTCTACTAAAAGTCCCCTTTTGTTTCTTTGTTCTTTCAGGGGTGTGTGTGTGTGTGTGTGTGTGTGTGTGTAAGTACATGTATGTTGTAATATGCAGGGCCATATGTGTGGGAACCAGTGCTGGTGGTGGCCCGAGGACGTCATCTGGAATTGTCTTCCGTTCTCTTCAACTTGATTCTTTGAGGCAGGGTCTCTTGGGGTTTGGAGTATTATAAACATTATGGGTCTAGGCCATAGTAAACTGAAGAACTGTTTTGTTTTTTTTCTGTTATTATTTTTATCTTATATTGTGTTTTCAGGAAGCTGGAAAGAGGAGATCGATCCAGGAGACTCCAGAGCAGTCTGAGAGTTTACCTCCTCACAAAATGACCAGGTTGCTACAGAGATTCCCCAACAAATCTCACCTCAGCTGAAAATGGAGAAACATTTTCAATGAACTGTCATTTCTGAACGCTAGACAGAGGCATGTTAGGGATGTTTGCGTTTGACCTACCCTGTGTTTTTGAAGGGCAAAATGAGACAAAACACTTAATTTTGCTCTTGTGAATGAATCGCGTTCTGGATGCTATCTTGTAATAAAACCCTCTAAAAAAGAAATTGGCCATTTCTTCTCGTGAGCTATTCCCTCCTCACACTCCACCCCCACCCCGAAGATGAACCTCTTGGCCTTTCCCTGCACTTAGCACTCCCTTTCTTGAGCCCTATACTCTCCTCTAGACCCTGGAAGTTCTTTGCTTCCTGATATACTCTTTGTCTTTCTTTTTTGTTGGTTTTTGTTTTGTTTTGTTTTTTTTTTTTTT